CCGCCTTCTCTTTCTGCAGCCCTGGAAACCACACCTGCACGGCGCGCCCATAAAATAAAGTAACGCTTGCAGCGGCGCGTGCACCGCTCACGCGCGGACCGTTTCCGCCACCAGCCTGAGGTCCCAGGTGAGCAGCCGCAGCAGGTTGAAGACGACGGCGGCCTCGTGGCAGCGAGGAGGGTCCTGCACAGGGGACGCAGGCACAGTCAGGCTTGGTGGGCTCGGGCGCGTGGTCCCAGTCCACGTCCCCGCCCCGGACCCTGCTTGGCCAGGCGCGGCTCCCCGGCGCTGACCTGGCGCCGCAGGCACTGCCGCACTCACCGCCCTGCGCGTCTCCGCTCGCCTCCGCGTCGCTCGGGAGGACTTCCTGGAGAAGCGTGGTCGCACCAGCTCGACCTGGAGGTGCGCGCAAGGGGAGTGAGGCTCCGCCAGCCTTCCGCAGGTTCCCCGCGCGCTCTGCCCGGCACTGCCGCCCACAGAACCCGACCGGGAGCCGCACGCGGGGACCCTTTCTGGCGCCAAGCAGCCAGGGACTCTGGGTGCAGGTGTCACTTACGCAGGTCTCCACGTCTCTCCTGGCCGCCACCAGCAGCTCCAGTGTCGGGCCGACGCCAGGGAAGCGATCGAGCCGATGGAGGCTAGTCAGCACGGCCTGGGCATCAGCGAGGCCGCGGGCCACGTGGCGGAGTCGGGCGCAAGACTGCGGGAAAAGGCGGCGGTTAGCGCGGGCCGCGCCAGGTGCCCACGCCCTCCCCGCAGGCCCCGCACTCACCGACCGCCTTGGCGGACCCCGCCTCCATCGGAAGGAGCAGGTGCGGAGTCTCCAGCCCAGCGTCTCTTCCTCCTGCGGGTGGAGCGCCGGCTTAGCGTCACTGGTCATCGGCCGGGACCCCAAGCTCGTGCCCGGGACCCCAAGCTCGTGCCCGGGACCCGTGCCTTCTGGGGTTCCTACAGCCCGACCCCGAATGCCGCTCGTTCTCCATCGTGTCCGCACCAACCCACGCGCCCTTCGAAAGCCGATCGGGGCCAAAGGCCTCTGGGAACCCCTTTCCGACCCTGCACTGGGTCCCCCAGCCCCGGGTACCCCGCGCTGGCTGAGCGCCCTGTTGTGCGTATCCTGAGTTGTGACCCTGTTTCGGTGGGAAGAGCGGGCACATCTCTCGGGCTGAGCTCAGAGTCCTGGGAGAGGAGCTGGCGGCCCTGCGCCCTGGGTGGGGCTGTTTGTCACTCACGTAGCTGTCTCTCAGCGCCAGGGCGGCTTTCAGCACCTTGGGATCCAGTGAGCGGTAGTGCGAGAGCAGGCATCGTCGGGGCGCGTTCTCCACCGGCTGCGCTGTCGTCACGACCAGCATCCACAGGAACCACAGCCCCATGGTCATCGCCAACGCCGCACCGCCCGCACTCATCTTGGCTCCTGCGGGAGGCCAGGGGGCACGTGCGCCTGGGGCTGGAGGCGCCCGAGGCAGCCCGCCCTCCTGTGGTGTCCTGGGACCCCCTGGGCTCGGGCTCCGGCCTGCCCCCGCACCTGCTGGGAGTGCTCACTGGGTGCTGTGTTCTGCAGCAGGTTTGGTCCGTCGGTGTCCTCTGGTCTCTGGGTAGCGCGGGGTCCATGTCGAACTGTGGCTCTGGGCAGCCCATGGTCGCTTTTAAGGTCTGAAATTTTCCTGGGGCGATACCACACCCAATGGTAAACATAATTTTCCTATGCAGCGGGACCAGTGATGTCTTTCGTAACTTGCTATGAGTAATAAATGCCTCCTGAGTCCACTCCTCCATGATTTTTTCATTTTGAAATGGGAAACCAAATTAACCATGTAAAGATTGTTAAAATAAAAAATATTAATAAAAAAGATATATAGGTGAAAAAAAAAAAGAAATGGGAAACCAAAGCACCTTTTTTGGTCTTCCTTCGCGGCTGCAGCCTGGCCGAGCCCCCCAATCCCTGCTCTGCAAGGCAGTGGCTCCCCAGCTGCTCCCTGCAGCCTCTTTCTGTTCCATGTGGCCCTACTTCAGTGTTCCTGTGATGAACTCCTGCTTCAATTTTTGAATTTTTTTTTAAATTTAAAAAGCAGATTTACTGAGAAGGAGAGACAGAAACATCTTCTCCCTGCCGGCTCACTCCCCAAGCAGCTCCAACGGCCTGAGCTGAGCTGATCCAATCCCAAACCAGGAACCAGGAGCTTCTTCTGGATCTCCCACATGGGTGCAGGCTCCCAAGAGTTTAGACTGTCCTCTACTGCTTTCCCAAGCCACAGGCAGTGTTTCAGAATTGCCAGCGTCATGCAGCAACAAGCAGAGTTACAGCAAGGGGAGAGAGGAAGACCTTCCATCTGCTGGTTCACTCCCCAGATGGCTGCAATGGCAGGAACTGAGCTGATCTGAAGCCAGGCATCAGGAGCTTCTTGCAGATCTCCCATGTGGGGTACTAGGGCCCAAGGACTTGGACCATCTTCCGCTGCCCTCCCAGGCCATTGGCAGGGAGTTGGATCAGAAACAGAACAGCCAGGACTCAAACTGGGACCCATAGGAGATGCCAGCCCTGCAGGCAGAAGCTTCAAGTGCTGTGCCACAGCGTCAGCCATCATTCAGCTCGAAATAGCACAGCGGGGTGGAAGCCAGGTCTGTGCCCTCCCTACTCCCGCCTGGTTGTTTGATTTAAGCACAGTGGTTGCTGCAGCACCTCCATGGAGGCCCATCTTGCCTGCCAAGGTGGATTACATGTTGGGGTGCAGGAGTTGCAGGGGGCTGTGTTGGCCACACACTTGAGGTCCCAGGTGAAGAGGCAGAACAGGTGAAAGTGACAGAGGTCTCCAGGCAGTCAGGGGTTACCTGTGGGGTAGAAAGGCAGGGGTCAGTGGTTGTCTGCCATCTCCACCAGCGCCATCACCCTACCATCCATCTCCACCACCTGCCAGCATTCTAACTTCCATTTCTCCCATCTGCCGTCACCCCGCGCTCATCTCCTCCGCTTTCCACCACACCCACCTTGCCATCATCCCACCTTCCATTTTCCTAGCCTACCATCAACCCTCCCTCCATCATCCCTACCCTGAATCTCGCCCACCTGCACCCCCAATTGTGCCCACCGGCTGTGCCTGTTCATCTGTTAGTACCTCACACCACGGGGGCTTTCTGATATCCATTCCTACCTCAAGGAATATGGGTTAACCTACTAACCCCTTCACCCTGCCATGTGCTAGATCGTACCCTCATGCTGTGGACCACCCTGCACTCTGTTGTAGTGGGTACCTGCACCCTCATGCTGTAGGCTAGCCTGCATCGTCCTGCCATGAAGTGTGCTACACTGCACCCTTGTACTGTAGGATAAACTGCACCCTCCAGCATGGCTGTCTCCTGCTCTCCTTGCAGTGGGGTTCTCTGCACCATCACATCCTCCTGGGGTGCCCAGTCTCGTCTGGGAGTCTAAGGCGAATGTTCAGGGATGCCCCTGGGCTCTGAGCTCAACCCTCCTACGCACCCTGGGTGCCTGGGTGCTGGCTGCTGATGAAGTAGTACAGGTTCCTTTATTTTGTTGTTTTTTGGGTAGTAGCACAGGTTCTAAGCAGCCACAGGTGGGCGGGCAGGGAGAGGCAGGCCAGTCCTCACCTGGCCCCACAGCTTCTCCTCTTCATGTCCGTGAGGACACACCCTTCATTGTCCTCACTGACTCCCAGTGGCCACACCAGTTTGTCCCCCTCCTGCCCCCTCCCCCTTCTCTGTACCCCTGCCCCTCCCCCATGTGCTCATCCTGCTGGGAGCCCTCTGTCTTGCATGTCTCATTCCTCAGTGGTGGGAGTGTCCTGTGGCCTTGGAGGCTGAGTTGGCCCTAACACAGAAGGTTCTAGAAACCATGGCTGCCAAAGAGGACTCGGCCCTGGGTGAAGTCCTGGACCAGCCCCTCTGCATGCTGCACACATCCACACCCAGATTCGGTCCTGAGTGGGTCTTTGGGGGAGTTGTGGGGAACAGCCTGGATGTGGACAGGGCTCTGCCCCCTCCTTCCCTTCCCTGCACCCTAGGCCCTGTCTCATACATAGTCATCTTGTCTCTACAGCATCCTGTCAGACCTGATTTTCCCTGGCGGGCCAGATCCCGAGGTCGCCAGTTAGAGATATTTAAACTATGCCAGGAGTTCTGGAAGAAGGTGAGGTGGGGAAGGTGTGGTGCCCAGAGTGCAGTGGGGTGGAGAGGAGAATGGGAGATCGAGGGAGGGGTAGATGAGGGTGGCAGAGATGTGGGGTGGGGGTGATCCAGGATGGTGGTGGTGGAGTTTATGAAAGATGCAGGGTGGGGTGATTGAGAACGGGGGTAATGGAGGCTGTGGTGATGCCAGCTGGGGATGAACACAGGAGAGGGAGATGGAGGGTGGGATGCCACCATCATTAACAATGGACAACTCCTGACGCTCCAGGTGGTGCCAGGTGACTAAGCAGGAGACCCATGATGACTCGATGACGTGCTACCCCGGCAGTCCACTAGTGCCTCTCCACATAATGATGACCAAGAGCAGAAAATACAAAACAAGCATTCTTTAATCAACGGCAATAAATAAGCAAGGAGGTAGCATGGCCATGTCTGTCTTTCACACTCTCTCTCTTTCACACACACACGCACACACACATATACACAGACACACACACACAGACACACCCACACACAGAGACACTCGCGCAGGCGCCGAAACCCACAAACACACTCTAAAATAACAGTATCCAGGGGTAGAATAGCAGATTCTGCCACGACAATTCCTCTTCTGATCCCTCAGGCGCACGGGGCTCCCACGGCTGCACGTTCAGCAATCCACCCTGAGGGGCCCGTGGAAACCCAGACAAAAGCATCAACCGGATCCACAACTGCTGCTGCCCCCGCAGGCAAGGCAGAGCCGAGTGAGGATGGACGCCGCCCTCCGGAGACCCGCCTTCTCTTTCTGCAGCCCCTGGGGCCACACTAGCTCAGCGCGTCCAGACACCAAGTCATTCTAGCTGTGGCGCGGGCACCGCTCACACACACGGCCCGTCCTGTGCCACCAGCCTGAGGTCCCAGGTGAGCAGCCGCAGCAGGTTGAAGACGACGGCGGCCTCGTGGCAGCGAGGAGGGTCCTGCACAGGGGACGCAGGCACAGTCAGGCTTGGTGGGCTCGGGCGCGTGGTCCCAGTCCTCGTCCCCGCCCCGGACCCTGCTCGGCCAGGCGCGGCTCCCCGGCGCTGACCTGGCGCCGCAGGCACTGCCGCACTCACCGCCCTGCGCGTCTCCGCTCGCCTCCGCGTCGCTCGGGAGGACTTCCTGGAGGAGCGTGGTCGCACCAGCTCGACCTGGAGGTGCGCGCGAGGGGAGTGAGGCTCGGCCAGCCTTCCGCAGGCTCCGCGCGCGCTCTGCCCGGCACTGCCGCCCACAGAACCCGACCGGGAGCCGCACGCGGGGACCCTTTCTGGCGCCAAGCAGCCAGGGGCTCTGGGTGCAGGTGTCACTTACGCAGGTCTCCACGTCTCTCCTGGCCGCCACCAGCAGCTCCAGTGTCGGGCCGACGCCAGGGAAGCGATCGAGCCGATGGAGGCTAGTCAGCACGGCCTGGGCATCAGCGAGGCCGCGGGCCACGTGGCGGAGTCGGGCGCAAGACTGCGGGGAAAGGCGGCGGTTAGCGCGGGCCGCGCCAGGTGCCCAAACCCTCCCCGCAGGCCCCGCACTCACCGACCGCCTTGGCGGACCCCGCCTCCATCGGAAGGAGCAGGTGCGGAGTCTCCAGCCCAGCGTCTCTTCCTCCTGCGGGTGGAGCGCCGGCTTAGCGTCACTGGTCATCGGCCGGGACCCCAAGCTCGTGCCCGGGACCCCAAGCTCGTGCCCAGGACCCCAAGCTCGTGCCCGGGACCCGTGCCTTCTGGGGTTCCTACAGCCCGACCCCGAATGCCGCTCGTTCTGCATCGTGTCCGCACCAACCCACGCGCCCTTCGAAAGCCGATCGGGGCCAAAGGCCTCTGGGAACCCCTTTCCGACCCTGCACTGGGTCCCCCAGCCCCGGGTACCCCGCGCTGGCTGAGCGCCCTGTTGTGTGTATCCTGAGTTGTGACCCTGTTTAGATGGGAAGAGCGGGCACATCTCGGGCTGAGCTCTGTGTCCTGGGAGAGGGGCTGGCGGCCCTACGCCCTGGGCGGGGCTGTTTGTCACTCACGTAGCTGTCTCTCAGCGCCAGGGCGGCTTTCAGCACCTTGGGATCCAGTGAGCGGTAGTGCGAGAGCAGGCATCGTCGGGGCGCGTTCTCCACCGGCTGCGCTGTCGTCACGACCAGCATCCACAGGAACCACAGCCCCATGGTCATCGCCAACGCCGCACCGCCCGCACTCATCTTGGCTCCTGCGGGAGGCCAGGGGGCACATGCGCCTGGGGCTGGAGGCGCCCGAGGCAGCCCGCCCTCCTGTGGTGTCCTGGGACCCCCTGGGCTCGGGCTCCGGCCTGCCCCCGCACCTGCTGGGAGTTCTCACTGGGTCTCGCGTTCTGCAGCAGGTTTGGTCCGCCGGTGTCCTCTGGTCTCTGCGCAGCGCGGGGTCCACGTCGAACTGTGGCTCTGGGCAGCCCATTGTCGCTTTTATGGTCTAGATTTCCCGCGCTTTCGTGACGTTTCCTAACCCAGACACCGTTTCGGAACGTCAGCGCGGGCTGCTGGCCGGCTGCTGCCAGTGCAGAGAACTCTCCTGCTGCCCAGTACTGCTGATTTCTCATCCCAGCGCCTGTTGAGTAACTTGGGATGAGTAATCCTGTGAAATGCCATGACTTCACCTTTTGCTCTTGCCACTCCCTGCTCTGCAACGGAGTGGCTGCCCGGCTGGCAGCCTCTTCACTTCCATGAGGCCCTATTTCAGTGTACCTATGATGAACTTCTGCCTTAAATTTTTAAAAAAGATTTATTTTTTTTTTATTGAAAGGTCAATATACAGAGAGGAGAGACAGAGAGGAAGATCTTCTGTCCAATGGTTCACCCCCCAAGTGACCACAACGGCCATTGCTGAGCCAATCCGAAGCCAGGAGCTCTGCTGGGTCTCCCACGCGGGCGCAGGGTCCCAAGGCTTTGGGCCATCCTTGACTGCTTTCCCAGGCCACAAGCAGGGAGCTGGATGGGAAGTGGAGCAGCCAGGATTAGAACAGGTGCCTATATGGGATCCTGCATGTTCAAGGCGAGGACTTTAGCCTCTAGGCCTCCACTCTGGGCCCTTCAAATATTTTTCTTAAAAAAAGGTTGATTGAGGCCAATGGATGAAAGGTGTGTGTGTGTGTGCGTGCGCACATGCCTTTAAAAATCAATTAATCAAGATTTTAAAGAATTGATTGGCACAGAAATGTTTTGAATGTTCGCCTGGAAGAAAAATGAGGAAAAATGGAGCTGGCAAAGGCAGAGGGGGTCCCAAGCAGACGGAGACAGGGACCCAAAGGAAGGTGCTGGCTAGGGGTTTTGGGGGAAGGGAAAGTTCTGCACAGGCAACAGGCTGGGGTGCTATCCCTCCTCAGCCACATGGTACCCAGGACAGGCCCTCAGTGGAGCATCTGAAAGATGGATTCAGACTGAGTCCTTCTCTAAAGCTAGGATGCAACAGCTGTGAATCAGAAAAATAAAAAAAATCAAGTCTGACTCAGAGTAACCAACACAGACTACTTACAACAATATAACAAAATAAATACCCCTCAGGTAAGACAGGGCAGCAAGGAAGCAGGAGAGACCGGGAGACACGTTGGGCAGCAGGAGGCTTCGGACCAAGCCATCAGCTGGCACAGGACCACAGGAGGGTAAAGTCCTCTTGTCTGCCAGAGTTTTCGGGCCCCATTCCCGCTCTGACGTTCCGAAACGGTGTCCTGTGCCAGGGAAGCCCATTTCCACTTCAGACTCTCTCCCTGGACATTAAAAGCAACCATGGACCGGCTAGAGCCACAGTTCGACGTGGACCCCGCTCTGCGCAGAGACCAGAGGACACCGACGGACCAAACCTGCTGCAGAACACAGCACCCAGTGAGAACTCCCAGCAGGTGCGGGGGCAGGCCGGAGCCCGAGCCCAGGGGGTCCCAGGACACCACAGGAGGGCGGGCTGCCTCGGGCGCCTCCAGCCCCATGCACACGTGCCCCCTGGCCTCCCGCAGGAGCCAAGATGAGTGCGGGCGGTGCGGCGTTGGCGATGACCATGGGGCTGTGGTTCCTGTGGATGCTGGTCGTGACGACAGCGCAGCAGGTGGAGGTGGCGCCCCGACGATGCCTGCTCTCGCACTACCGCTCACTGGATCCCAAGGTGCTGAAAGCCGCCCTGGCGCTGAGAGACAGCTACGTGAGTGACAAACAGCCCCACCCAGGGCGCAGGGCCGCCAGCTCCTCTCCCAGGACTCTGAGCTCAGCCCGAGAGATGTGCCTGCTCTTCCCATCTAAACAGGGTCACAACTCAGGATACACACAACAGGGCGCTCAGCCAGCGCGGGGTACCCGGGGCTGGGGGACCCAGTGCAGGGTCGGAAAGGGGTTCCCAGAGGCCTTTGGCCCCGATCGGCTTTCGAAGGGCGCGTGGGTTGGTGCGGACACGATGCAGAACGAGCGGCATTCGTGGTCGGGCTGTAGGAACCCCAGAAGGCACGAGTCCCGGGCACGAGCTTGGGGTCCTGGGCACGAGCTTGGGGTCCCGGGCACGAGCTTGGGGTCCCGGCCGATGACCGGTGACGCTAAGCCGGCGCTCCACCCGCAGGAGGAAGAGACGCTGGGCTGGAGACTCCGCACCTGCTCCTTCCGATGGAGGCGGGGTCCGCCAAGGCGGTCGGTGAGTGCGGGGCCTGCGGGGAGGGTTTGGGCACCTGGCGCGGCCCGCGCTAACCGCCGCCTTTCTCCCCGCAGTCTTGCGCCCGACTCCGCCACGTGGCCCGCGGCCTCGCTGATGCCCAGGCCGTGCTGACTAGCCTGCTCGATCGCTTCCCTGGCGTCGGCCCGACACTGGAGCTGCTGGTGGCGGCCAGGAGAGACGTGGAGACCTGCGTAAGTGACACCTGCACCCAGAGCCCCTGGCTGCTTGGCGCCAGAAAGGGTCCCCGCGTGCGGCTCCCGGTCGGGTTCTGTGGGCGGCAGTGCCGGGCAGAGCGCGCGGGGAACCTGCGGAAGGCTGGCCGAGCCTCACTCCCCTCGCGCGCACCTCCAGGTCGAGCTGGTGCGACCACGCTTCTCCAGGAAGTCCTCCCGAGCGACGCGGAGGCGAGCGGAGACGCGCAGGGCGGTGAGTGCGGCAGTGCCTGCGGCGCCAAGTCAGCGCCGGGGAGCCGCGCCTGGCCAAGCAGGGTCCGGGGCGGGGACGAGGACTGGGACCACGCGCCCGAGCCCACCAAGCCTGACTGTGCCTGCGTCCCCTGTGCAGGACCCTCCTCGCTGCCACGAGGCCGCCGTCGTCTTCAACCTGCTGCGGCTGCTCACCTGGGACCTCAGGCTGGTGGCACAGGACGGGCCGTGTGTGTGAGCGGTGCCCGCGCCACAGCTAGAAGGACTTGGTGTCTGGACTAGCCGAGCTAGTGTGGCCCCCGGGGCTGCAGAAAGAGAAGGCGGGTCTCCGGAGGGCGCGGTCCATCCTCACTCGGCTCTGCCTTGCCTGCGAGGGCAGCAGCAGTTGTGGATCCGGTTGATGCTTTTGTCTGGGTTTCCACGGGCCCCTCAGGGTGGATTGCTGAACGTGCAGCCGTGGGAGCCCCTGGGCGGGTTCCGGGCGCCTGAGGGATCAGAAGAGGAATTGTCGTGGCAGAATCTGCTATTCTACCCCTGGATACTGTTATTAGAGAGAGAGAGAGAGAGAGAGAGAGAGAGAGAGAGAGAGAGAGTGTGTGTAAGAGCGAGAAAGAGAAATAAAGAGAGAGATGCTCTGAGACGCATGGGCATGCTACCTCCTTGCTTATTTATTGCCGTTGATTAAAGAATGCTTGTTTTGTATTTTCTGCTCTTGGTCATCATTATGTGGAGAGGCACTGGTGGACTGCCGGGGTAGCATGTCATCAAGTCATCATGAGTCTCCTGCTTAGTCACCTGGCACCACCTGGAGCGTCAGGGCTCCTACCTGTTCAGGGGTGCAGCTGCATGGCCTTGCCAAGCAATGCAGTTCCAGGCCCCAATTCCAGAGGCTGATGTGAGCCCCTGCTCAAGCCTCTGTCCCCTTGCTGGCCACAAGAGGGCACTACTGTGATGGACTTCTGCCCCTCTGGCTAGGCCAGCTCCAGCCCTGGACACGTTAGCCCCTCATACCCTGGGGACCCCATGATACCCAGTGCTGCCTAAAGGAATACGGATTGACCGGCTAACCTATTTCTTCCTGCCATGTGCTAGATCGTACCCTCATGCTGTGGACCACCATGCAACCTTATGATGTGGGCTATCCTGCACCCCCTCTCATGGGCTAGCCTGCATCCTTGTGTTGTGTCTAGAAGCATTTTCATCCTGTGGGAATATCTGCACCCTCCAGCATGGCTGTCTCCTGCTCTCCTTGCAGTGGGGTTCTCTGGACTATGACATCCTCCTGGGGTGCCCAGTCTCGTCTGGGAGTCTAAGGCGAATGTTCAGGGATGCCCCTGGGCTCTGTTACCCCTCCTACGCACCCTGAGTGCCTCGATACTGGCTGCTGATGAAGTAGCACAGGTTCTTTTTTTGTTTGTTTGTTTTTGTTTTTTCGCTGGTAGCACAGGTTCTAAGCAGCCACAGGTGGGCAGGCAGGGAGAGGCAGGCCAGTCCTCACCTGGCCCCACAGCTTCTCCTCTTCATGCCCTTGAGGACAAACCCTTCATTGTCCTCACTGACTCCCAGTGGCCACACCAGTTTGTCCCCCTCCTGCCCCCTCCCCCTTCTCTGTGCCCCTGCCCCCTCCCCCATGTGCTCATCCTGCTGGGAGCCCTCTGTCTTGCATGTCTCATTCCTCAGTGGTGGGAGTGTCCCGTGGCCTTGGAGGCTGAGTTGGCCCTCACGCAGAAGGTTCTAGACACCATGGCTGCCAAAGAGGACTCGGCCCTGGGTGAAGTCCTGGACCAGCCCCTCTGCATGCTGCACACATCCACACCCAGATTCGGTCCTGTGTGGGTCTTTGGGGGAGTTGTGGGCAACAGCCTGGATGTGGACAGGGCTCTGCCCCCTCCTTCCCTTCCTGCACCCTAGGCCCTGTCTCACATAGTCCTCCCCTTCTGCCTACAGCTCCCTGCCAGACCTCCTCAGCCCACAGGGGGCCCAGGCCCCGAGGCCGGCTCCCCCACTGGCTGCCCCAACTCCAGGAGGTCTCCAAGAAGGCAAGGTGGGGGAGGGGCAGAACCTAGACTTGGGATGAGTGGTGG